TTTAAATTGAAATATTTTGTTAATGTTTTTTGTTTTTGTTTTGAAAACAAGAAAATGGACAACACGTTTATTTTACAGCTGCAAATGTGCAACAAACAGCTATGAATCCACCGGCTACAACGTTAACTGCTTTCTTCACGTTATGTCAAAATGACGCGTTTGTGAAAACACTGCTGTATTCGGAAGTACCTATGTATTACACATAGAATGCGAGTAGAAAATCATTTGAACGACGCAAACAAGGAGAGCGAGTCGACGGACAACCTGGCATATTCCAACAAACTACGATAGGCAGACTGCACAGGGTACATCACAATCAAGATGAATGCTTCCTTCTTCGCATGCTGTTGGTAAACGTGCCAGGTTCAACGTCTTTTCAGCCAAAGAGTTTGTCAACGGCATAACTTGTGCCATTTTCCGTAGTGCATATCAAGCTCTTAATTTATTGGAGAACGACCGACACTGGGATGTATGAATTAATGACACGTCCAACACGTCACATCCAAATCAAATTCGAGCATTATTTGCAATCATATTGACCACTTACTCTCCATCAGAGTAATGGGAAAAATATAAATCGCACATGGCTGAAGACATTATCCGTCGAATACGCAAGGGAAATTCATATATGAACATAGATTTTACATCAGAAATCTACAACGAAGCGTTGATAATGACTGAAGATTTATGCTTAGAAATCGCGAACAAAGTTCTAAATCAATTGGAAATGCCATCACCGAATCGATTTGCTGCTGCATCGTTCGATGTAGAATTGCGTCGTGAACAAAATTACAACATGGGTGATCTGTTGTCATATGTGCAGTCAAACATTCCTAAGCTAACGCTTGAGCGAAAAGGCCTTTACAATCAAATAATTCAAACTGTTAATAACGGGTTTGGAGAAGTCTTTTTAGATGCGCCAGAAGGAACTGTAAAACTTTCATAATTAGATTTATTCTGCCAGCATTTCGATCCCAAAATGGCATAACCTTAGCTCTTGCTTCGTCTGGAATAGCTACGACATTGCTACCAGGTGGAAGAACTGCTACTTCAGCTATGAAATTGCCATTGAACATGCAATTCATTGAAACTCCCACGTGCAACATTTCCAAAGCATCCAGCCTGGGAAAAGCATTGCACAAATGTAAACTTATTGTTTGGGATGAATGCACATTGGCCCACAAAAAATCACTCGAGGCTCTTGATCGATCATTGCAAGATTTGCTTGAAAACATCAGACCATTTGGGAACGCATTAATATTGCTTGCGGGAGATTTCAGGCAATCATTACCTGTAATTCCTCGATCAACACCAGCGGACGAAATAAATGCTCGCCTGAAATACTCTACTTTGTTGCGCCACATAAAGACGCTAAAATTAACTACAAATATGCGTGTCTAGTAGCAAAACGATCCATCAACTGGGATATTCTCACATCAGTCTCTATAAATTGATACCGTGAACGTGCCGGTTGATCTGACCTCTAAACGAATTTCATTGCCTTATAACTTCTGCAATTTAGTGACGTCAAAAGAAGAATTTTTTGAAAAAGTATTTCCCAATATTCAAACCAATTATTAGAATCACGATTGGCTGAATGAACGAGCTCTTCCTGCAGGCAAGAACAAAGACGTCTACGAACTTAAGAATATAGTTCAGTCTAACATTCAAAGCAAGGCAGTCACATACAAGTCCGTCGACACTGTTAAGGAAGCAGATGAAGCGGTTAATTATCGAACAGAATTTTTTATTTCACAGTCAAGGATACCATCACACGTACGTCAATTGAAAATTGGCGTGCCAATTATCATGTTGCGAAACATCAGTCAAAACTTTGCAACGATACGCGCCTTGCAGCCAAAAAATTAATCAGCAACGTCGTAGAAGCAGGTCTTGACAGGACCTTTGAAAAGTGAAGATGTCCTCATTCCTCGCATTTCTATGATTCCAACAGATATGCCCTTTCATTTTAAGAGATTGTAATTTCCAATTCGATTGGCGTTTGGAATTACCATCAACAAAGCTCAGGGCCAATCTTTAAAATTGTGCAGTTTATATCTAGACACGGATTGCTTCTCACATAGACAATTATAAGTTGCGTGTTCTAGAGTTGGCAACCAGACAATCTCTATCTCCCCACAGACAATGGAACAAAAAATATTGTATACCCACAAGCATTGTGAAATTAAATATTAGAAACGTGCGCTCTCATTTCTTTCTTTTCCATTTAACCAGACTGTGCCACAGCAACGCGTGGTGGGTACAGCTAGTAAAAATAATAATAATTTCATAATATTGTTATGGAATTTAATGAAAACATTGTAGCCTCTGACACTGCGTTGATATTGTAATTTCAACAACAATTACATTATTCTCCCAATTTTGAGCAAAATTTTGCATTGCAAGTTACCTGCAAATAGTTTTCAACACCTTTATGGAGATTTATTTTATGGGGGAACAAGCTTATTATAGCCTTGTATTCCTTGTAGAGGGTTAAGGAATACATCCATTTTATATTTATATATTTATTGCACACTTTACCACCCACTTCAATTTATATATTCTGATATTTAAAGGATAACTGAACACGTGCAGACATGAATGCATTTAACATGAACCATAATTGAATTCTTTCCTTTAAAAAGCTGTTTTACACCTTTGACAAACTTTGATTACCGTTCTATATTTTATGCCCTAAATTATATGAATAATTTATTTAAAAACAATTATAAATGAAAACTGTTTTTCCTATACATTTAACGTGTTTTGTAGTACACTAATATATGTTTGTAGTGCTCAAAATATATTATATATATATATATATATATATATATATATATATATATATATATATATATATATATATATATATATATATATATATATATATATATATATATATATATATATATATATATATATATATATATATATATATATATATATATATATATATATATATATATATATATATATATATATATATATTTATATATTGTGACAGTAACGCATTGGTGTTTGGCTGTTCAAAAGCTAGGGGTATGGCCTCGTCACATAGAAACAAAAAAATAGAAAATCTGGAACTTCGTCTGTGGTAAGGTAATGAGAAGACACACAAAACACAAGTAAATTTAACAATGCGATTTTAATTACGTTAGAAAAAGCAAAACATGAATAAAATGGACATACAAATTCGTATAATAAAATCAATCAATCAAATAATAAGAATAATCAAATGACAATATGAAAAGTTACGTTAAGACAAGTGAGTAATAACAAGTGAACAATATACAATCAAATAAGAGGTGCAGGAATATTGGCTTCAAGCTATCACCTCTCTTAGTACACGTAAGCCACAGCTTAGTCTACCAAGGAGACGTGTTAACCTGATGAAAGCACTGGATATTCTGAGAGCGGTAGGTCGTGTGGCCCCAGACATCAGGTAGTGTGGGGGGGTGGAGGGCAGGTGCAGCTGGACACGCAGCCAATCAGCGAGGAGCAGGCGAGAGACAGGTAGTTTGGCGGTTCGAGGTGGAGCAGGTGTTCCTGGCTGCATACGTTTTGCGCTCTGGCAAACCTTGGAGTGGTGTAGTTGTTGGATATTTCTTCCATACTAGTTTTATATAGATGTATATATCAACGTATTTTGGAGGGAAGAGCAGGCTCAATCTCTTGAAGGAGATTATCGTCACAATATATATATATACATATATATATATATATATATATATATATATATATATATATATATATATATATATATATATATATATATATATATATATATATATATATATATATATATATATATATATATATATATATATATATATATATGTGTGTGTGTGTGTGTGTGTGTGTGTGTGTGTGTGTGTTTAAATATATATTTTTATAATTAAATTCGTAATAAACAAATATTAGAAGAAAAAAATTCCGGGAACATTACCATTATATATATGTAGAAACGAGTACTAAATATCTTTCTCACAATCTTTTAATAAAAAGTAATTATTCAGTTCTTTTATATCTACAGATAGCGTTTTTCAGAGTAAACTAAGTTCATAAAATATATAATGAAAATGAACCAAATAAAGTTTCTGCAGATTATGCTAAATGCCTCAGTAATGCAAAATGTAAATTATCTCGTGCAGCACACTAAAATCTAACAAGTAATTCAAGAATAGGAGTTTTTCTTCTGTGATAAAAACTAAAAATTCAGGTATTGTGAATCATTTCATTAAATAAAACTGGAACCTGTTAGAGGGCACTATAATGTATTAAAGACATTTTGAAGTTCCTAGCCAAGTCAAGGAATATGAAAGATAGATATACTAAATAGGGTGATATTCCAAATACTTATTAGTGATAGTCACCCACTTTCACAATAAAATTTGGGAAACGTGGGACAGCTCTGGGTAAGAAAAAAGGAATAATATATATATATATATATATATATTTAAATTCCAATGTTTATATTTCTTGAAATAGAATTTTCTTTCCTTCATAGCCTTTCAGTATCCAACATTTGAAAAATTTGAATAAGTCGTATGATTTTATATATATATATATATATATATATATATATATATATATATATATATATATATATATATATATATATATATATATATATATATATATATATATATATATATATATATATATATATATATATATATATATATATATATATATATATATATGGCTTCAAGCTATCACCTCTCTTAGTACACGTAAGCCACAGCTTAGTCTACCAAGGAGACGTGTTAACCTGATGAAAGCACTGGATATTCTGAGAGCGGTAGGTCGTGTGGCCCCAGACATCAGGTAGTGTGGGGGGGTGGAGGGCAGGTGCAGCTGGACACGCAGCCAATCAGCGAGGAATATCCAATTATATATATATATATATATATAATTGGAATTTATCCTTATTTAAGGAGAAAATTAGAGGAAAACAAATGCAGGTTCAGAGGAGGGATAGAAGCCAGTTTAAAAAATATGCTAGCGAAATGTGCATTGAACACACTTATTTAAAAGCAGGCGGCACACTCAAAGACAATTGTTTGCATTTTGATATTAGTAAAAAATTTTATATATGCTATTGATTGCTTTGAAACGTAAAAGGCTTTTCAATTACATAATATTGTTAAATAAATGAAACTTAATTCCAAATATCATTGGCACTCATTACTTTCTAAATGTTATGGAACTGTTTATGGATACTGGATATATATCTTAATAAATTCAATGTTAAAAGCTGTGCGATTGTTGTTACTAGCCTTGAAGTTTTAGATTGTCAGAAAGAATATCAATAAATCTAAGCACAGTTTACATAACGCTATACATAATACTAACTTAAATTTTACTCTTTTTGCCTGCAACAGCCAAATAAAAAGATCCAAGGCATTCATAATATGTAAATAAATAAACAAAACTTGTGTGATGTACTTGTTGGAAAGTGTCTGAATTCCCCAAAACTAAATATTTTGCTGCCTAAGGGAATTTTTACGTATTAGAAAACATCAAAAAGTTCTTAGCCAAGTCTAGGAATATGAAAGGTTTATTTATTAATGGGCTGATATTCCACGCTACATTTACTAAAGAGGATGATATTCCACCCTATATTTACTAAATATAGGGTGGAATATCTTCTTCACCCTTTCTTCAAGTTGTAAATCATTTTCTTTTATATTTTGCTAATTAGTTCCCACGTTTTAAACAAAATGTTGAATGTTCCCAGGGAATTGTGTGTTTTATCGTTGACCTTAATGAAAGGCTTCTCATAGCACTGATGACATGCACTTCCAATGATGAAGTGTATCGCTGTTTATGATGGAAAGCTCCTCATTGTGGGGTGATTACCTGCAACATGCAATTGCAATGATTATGCTGTTTTTGTTGCTTATATGTCTTTGATCATAAAATTCAAGTACCAACGTTCATCTAATATTTTCTAAAATGTTTTGTGATGTCTTATTACTTTATGAAGATTAACAATAAAATATAAATAAGTTGGCAGAGAAGCTGGGAACTTGTAGCTTAATATATAGGAGATATAGTGAAATTGATATATATTCAAGGGAGTTGGGAGTTATATGTTACTGTAAGTTCATCATGATGGGTGGAGAGAGATGTAAAGGATGCAGTTGTGATTATTGTGTCTGTTGCAGGTGATAATTATGAACCATCATTGACATAATTGTGGCAGTGGTGATTGTGTTAGCTGTGGGTGATAATTATGACACTACCGAAGCAATTATGGTGGTAGTGATTGTTGTGTCAGTGGTGGTTGATAATTATTACACGTCACTGATAATTGTCTCCGTGGTGATTATTGTGACTCATGGTTTCATGAATACTACTCTCTTCCTCATATATTCTCGTTTCTGTCATGAATACTTCTTTCCTACAATAATACTCTTTACCTTTTTTCATTAATGCTGCTATTGTATTCCTTCTTGAATGCTGTTTTTTTCTTTCATGAATACTCCTCTTTCCTTTAAGAATACGGTTCTCTTTCCTTTATGAACATTGTTCTCTTCTTCATGAATACTTCCCTCTTTACTTCGTGAATACTACTGTATTTCTTCCTGAATACTGCTGTATTTCTTTTGTGAATTTTAGTTTCTTTCCTTCATAAATACGACTTCCTTTAATTCAGAAATACTGATTACTTTTCTTTATAAATTCTGCTCTTTTTCCTTCATGAATACTGTGCTCTTAAAGACTACAGCTTTCTTTCCTTCGTGAATACTGCCTTTTGTTCGAATACTACTACTACTATTTCCTTCATGACTACTGCTCTTACATTCATGATTTCTGCTATCATTCGTGAATACTGCCCTTGCTTTCGTGAATCTTTTTATCTTTCCATCAAAAATATTGCTCTCTTCCTTCTTCGATGTCGAAAGACCTTGCAAAAGTCGGGAGGAGGGGAGGGGGAAGGGGGAGCGGGGAGGAGGAAGAATGACGAATAGAAATTCTCTAAGAGGATGTGGATGGGAGATGAGGAGGCTAAAAAAATTCGGTGGCCATTCCACCGCGGGTTGGCGACGAGTATTTTTCATAGTTTTTTTTTATCTTGACTTTGTGTTTTATCTTCAACAGTCAATCAACTAATGTACAGGTTCCTGTGCCTACTGGCCTCTATCATATCTACACTTAAAGCTGTGTATGGAGTCAGCGTCTCTACCACATCACTTCCAAATGCATTCCATTTGTCTTCTATGACACTGACAATAAATCTAACGTCTCTGGGCTCATTCTGGTAATCAATTTCCACCCGTGTCCCCTAGTGCGTGTGCCCCTTGTGTTAAATATTCTGTCTTTTATTTCCCCCTATCAATTTCTGACAATCTTGTATGTGGTAATCATGTCCCCTCTAACTCTTCTGTCTCCCAGTGACGTGAGGTTTAATTCCCGTAGTCTCTCCTCGTAGCTCATACCTCTCAGCTCGGGTACTAGTCTGGTGGCAAACCTTTGAACCTTTTCCAGTTTAGTCTTATGCTTGACTAGATATGGACTCCATGCTGGAGCCGCATACTCCAGGATTGGTCAGACATATGTGGTATACAAAGTTTTGAGAGATTCCTTACACAAGTTTCTAAAAGCCGTTCTTATGTTAGCCAAACTGGCATATGCCGCTGATGTTATCCTCTTGACATGGGTACTCCCTTACCCACTGGGGCACCTTTACTATTTATTTTTGCCCGTTTCTCCAGCTTATGTACCAGCCTCTTATGGGGGTACTGTGTCAAAGGCTTTTCCGACAGTTCAAGAAAATGCAGTCCGCCCATCCTTCTCTTCCTTGCTTAATCTTTGTCATCTGATCATAGAATTTTGTCAAGGCTGTGAGGCAAGATTTACCCTCCATGAACCCATGTTGGTGGTTTGTAATGAAGTCTCTTCTCTCCAGATGTGTTATTAGGTTTTTTCTCACGATCTTCTCCCATCACCTTGCATCGTAAACAAGTGAAGGAGACTGGCCTGTAGTTCAGTGCCTCACACTTTTTGTATATTAGGACTATATTAGCCGTCTTCCATATTTCTGGTAGGTCTCCTGTCTCCAGTGACCTACTATACACTATGGGGAGTGGCACGTAAAGTGTTTCTGCACACTTTTTCAATACCCATGGTGAGATTCTGTCTGGACGAAAAACCTTTCTCACTTTTAGACCAAACAGGTGTCTCTTGACCTCATTTCTTGTAATTTCGAATCCATCCAAGGCTGCCTGGTTTTCTGCCACCTCTCCTAGCGCAGTCGCCTCACCTCGTTCTGTTGGGAAGACCTCCTGGAACCTCTTGTTGAGTTATTCCTACACCTCTTTGTCATTATCTGTATACCTGTCCTCACCTGTTCTGTTTCATCACTTGTTCTTTCACTGTTTTCCTCCTAATGTGACTGGACTAGCTTTGGTTAGGTCTTTGCTTTATTTGCTATATAATTTTCATACTTTTATCTGCTTTTCTTCTCACACTAACACTCATTCCTGGTTCTCTGGTATCTCTCCCTGCTCTCTGGGGTTCTGTTATTTCGGAAGTTCCTCCAAGCGTTTTTGTTCATCTCCTTTCTTTCCATACATGCCCTATTAAACATAGATTCTTTTGCTTTTCGTATTTTTCTTTTCGGGCCGGGATAAACCTGTTTACTGCCTCCCGACATTTTAGGGTGACAGTCCACCATGTCTTGTACGGACTTGGCTCGGAGTTCTGTGTCCCATAGTATATCCCTTAGGAAACTTTTCATCTCCTCATTATTTCCCTTTCGGTACGCCAGCCCTTTGTTTCCTAGTTCTGTTTTTGGGGAGATAAATCCTAGCTCTACCAGGTACTCAAAGTTCAGTAAACTGTGATCACTCATTCCCAAGCGTGCTTTCCAACTTAACTTTCCTTATATCCTACTCATTTAGGGTAAATATCAGATTAAGCATGGCTGGTTCATCTTCCCCTCTCGTTCTTGTCGGTCCCCTTGATGTGTTGGCTTAGAACGTTTCTTGTTGCCACGTCCATCAGCTTAGGCCTTCATGTGTCTGATCTTCCATGTGGGTCTATGTCCTCCCAATTTATCATCCTGTGCTTTAAGTCTCACATGACTAGTAGTCCAGATCCGTTCCTGCTATCGACTGAAGCTGTCCGCTATTATGTTAATGGTGGCCATGTTTTTTCTCACTTATTTCTGTCAGGGTCTTCTGTCATTTGATGGGGGGGAGGGTTATATATATGACTACGACTATCATTTTTTGTCCTCCAATTGCTATGGTACCTGTTATATAGTCACTGAAACGTTCATGGCCCTGAATAACCATCTCCTAAAAATACAGCTTTTCTTACCAACAGAGCTGCACCACTGTGTGTGTGTATGTGTGTGAGTACATATGCACGTACGCATGTTTTTGTTATTAGAATGAGTATGTACAGGCTAATACTTACACGCATTGAGTTATTAATCCGTTCGTTAAACATGTACCGAGGCAAAGACTGAATTCACAGAGATTTGCTGAAATTAAAGAGATTTATTAGGGCCCAGTTGCTTATTCTGCATATTTGCTGCAAAAATTATTTTATATTCATTATTTAAGATAGTAATCAAAAGAAAAGTTACTGGTGGTAAAATGTGTGCCATAGGCTTGCATATTTCAGATTAGACTGTCGAGATTGCTTAGTTTGTGCAAGAATATCCTAGTTATCACATATCACACTTTACTTTTGGTTGTATATGCAATTATTAATAATATGAATAAAATTATATATACATTCTTAATTAATTATATAATAAATTATTTTACATAATTA